ACCTATAAAATAGATCCTAGCTGAGTATGTTCTGGAGAAACATGAGTGTCGCCGGCGAGAATTTATGGGCGCCGAGTTTAGGGCAGGGCGCCGTCGTGCGTCCAGATCTAAATCTTACGTCTTCCCGGCTTGCGCTCTTTGTCTCTTTGCCAGATGTACGCTCCCTTGACATCTTCAATTTGCAGTCACCGGTGCGCTGTCCACTTCTCAAGACATTTGTATCTACAGCTATGGCTACTACATAGTGGGCTTTATCAGGTTCAACGTAGTAAAGTCGCTGATCGCGGCAGTTGCAAGTAGGATGTTACATCTGTATCGACTGTCATCTTGTGTTGTTATACATCGGCTCGCCCTTGTCCGAGGTGACAACATTGTCGTGGCATAGCCGGTAAATTCGGGCTGGTCCTGGTGCGAACTCAAGTCGAAAGCGCGTGTAATATGACTGAGCCTCGGGCGCTCTTTCACCTTTGAACTTGTGCCTACGACCACCTGATGATTGTGACAAATATGATGAATCCTCGGGGCTCACAATCCAATGGCGGATGTCCTTCCAGGTACCGTTGCTGCAAGGTGTTCGTTCCATACTACGGTCTTCGCCGTGAGGACGGACCGCTGCTCTGTGACGGGCCGTTTGAAGTCGCCTGACATGGTCATCGACGTTTACACTCTGCATGTGCATTCGCCGTTCATGTACTCCGACTTTGTAAGTTCTCCCGACGTTGTATCCGGGTGCACACCCTACCGATCTCCCGCACGCACAGTGCCGTAGTGACTACTAAAACCCCATGTAGTCGCTCATATTCCCCCAGTCCCTGTTCACAGCCTGCCAGTCTCCTCGGGAGATTCTGTGAAGAAACGCCCTCCAGGGCAACACTTATCGTCGTACGCCGTCTACAGCGATGCGCCAAGCGATTGAAGAATCGCTCTTGACTTTCTTGTCTGCCATAGTGCTTGTGACTCTCTTTGGCGCTACACCCGTTTCATCTTGGCCCAGTTGGTTCTCTCACACATCGTCTACCCCGCTCGCTGATGCTGTCATTGCATCCAAACGGCACTTCCCGCTTCATGCTAGGGGCACTAACTTCGATGGGTCCATACCGCTTTACAAGAACCCGAACGCGTCGATAGAGGATCGTGTGAATGATCTATTACCGCGTATGACCCTCGAAGAGAAAGTGGCTCAGTTGTACGCACATTCGACAGTGCTCCGGCAGCGGTTTCATATGACTCATAACTGTGCAGAATTCAGGGTGACCTTGATGGCTGGATGAATCTGACTGATCCCACAGATGACACTAAAACGTATAATGCTACTGGTCTTGTTCGTTTTCATCGTTTCTTGAACTTTTCATATTACACACTGGTTTATACGCAGGAGATTGAGCTCACTACGAAGAACGGTGCCATATGGGGAGGATATCTCATGCCCTGGGACAAATGGGTCTATGGGATCACTATAGGACAGCGATTCCTCATGGAGAATACCACACTCGGTATCCCGGCCATCGT